ATAATTATTTGTAACTCAGTCCACCAGTTCGTCCTAATTGTTTATCTGTTTCACACATCCTCTTATTGGGACACTTTTCCCTTTTACTTCCGCCATTTTTTGTCTGTTTTGTCTATTGCTCTGAACAGACACTATCGGAATTCACTTGTTTGGTTTGCATTATACATTAGTTTTGTCTTGTTCGATCCTAGTCACGAGTTGGCGAATCATGGCGGATCATGTTCCCGTCCAAGCATATCGTGTCATTCATTGATAGAAATAGCTCTGTCTCGTGGGTGACGCCGATCGCGCAGCGGGACAGTTATCAAGTCAAATCAGATAGTCACTTTATTCACCCCAAAGGGGTGCAGTATCAGTATGGTGCTCAATGCGACATTAAACCGTCAAATACCTTGGTAAAAGACTATACGAATCATAATCAAATCAAATTACTAGCATCACTAGCATTGCTCTTTTAAATTCTGACTGTGCTCTGAAATGGTTTTCATAAGATCCAAGCGCTCTGTCGTCCCAAAACTGAAAATCATACTATGCTGTTTAGACATTGTTTGTAAACAGACAACCTCTAAAAAGCTGTCAATTTCCTGTAACGCAACTGTTTAGTCTCAAGATCATCAAGTTCACGTCCTTTCCTGTGAATCGCATCTATTTTGACCTTGCATTCAATTGTCGATAGTTCAGCTGTCAGAAAGCGTCGGGTTCATAGGACTTTCATGGTCACTATTAAGTCCATCTCCCTCTGATGCCAACCAGCAACCCCGTTCTCCATTTATTCTGAATTTGCTGGTAATTCTTTTTCTTCAATTGATTTCCACGCATTCATGAACACATTTCGAAGAATCTGTTAAGTCTATAGTGTTGTTATTATGTCGAATTTTACAACATAATCGGCCACAAACGATATTGTGCAAAGATGATGTGTTCACGCTGGAAATCCTACAATCGATCTTTGGATCCTAAAGTTGCTTTCGTGTTTTACTAACAGTTGTACTAACTGTAAGAATGTTAATTGTCTATGAATCACTTGAGTGCTCATTGATCTTTCAATGATCACATGTTTTGAATCGAGCGGAGCCGATTTGTTGAGGCTCGATCGGATACTGTTTCACGAAAAATTTACCATCCAAAGGTCAATTTATCTAAGTAAAATCCTACTGCGTTTATGATCAGGTAACCAATTGGTCGTTTGTCTTGTGCCTCATTCCGCGCCTCTCCCTGCTCTTCGCAATCAGCTAGAAATATGATACTTCGGTCGTTTCGATACATTCAACAAGACCCACCGGATGACAGATGCCATAATGAATTTCTCTATTCGCAGTTCACTCTACGTAGTTCCGACCGTATTATAAATCTGTCCGATTCGTGTGTCAAGTTATGGCCCCGAAATCGCTATTGTAGACTTATGCAATTAGGTGTTGGGTTTCAGAACCACTCATTCCATTCAGCCCTTTTGATCGTTTTGGTACATGCGCTACCTAGTCAACGAATTTGTTCGCTTGATAACTGGCCGCTGTAACACATCCTCCACCCGCACTTCTGAGCAAAGCGGAAGAAACTAGGAGTAGTAGATCGCCATAGAAGCACGGATGTCATGGACATCCAGACAGCATCGGTTAGAATGAAATAGGGTATGAAACATGTGTTGCGTTAGCAATCAATATGCCTGTCATTTTAATTCCATTTGCGATTATTATCGATTTTTTCCTCTGATCCATAACGGGTTGTTTTTATTTATTTATTATTTAGTCAGTGCCCAGAAACAGGTAAGGTTCCGACAATGTTCAGTGAAAAGAAGGGTCACGAAAACTTGATATTTAAATTTTCGTTTCCGTTCTGTCTGTGCTGTGGACTGTTTCGCTTCTCTCTCGCTTTTGTCAGTGTTATAAGCTGCTGATATCATTATTCTACGGGATAGCATTACTCGTTATCTGTTTCACTGAATGTAGGCCTACAGATGACCTCTTGTAGACTCAGTCATCGATTTTGTCCTCGGCAATTTTTACTCCTTCTGTGGAAGTTTTTGGGGAAAAGTGATAGGTTCAGGATTTCTTTGGAGACGGGATATTTCCACATTGTCCAGTCCAAAGCGGGTGAATTTTCTTGACGCTGGATTTAGCAAACTCTTCACCATATGACTTGGCGCGTGTGTGTGATGTTATCAACCACAACCGTCGTGTGAAAGTGTATGACGAATGGTTGTTTCAAACTGAAACTGATTTTCTCAACCAATATACCGAGAACATCTTCCAA